GGCTCAGGCAATCCACTCACCTCAGCCTCCCAAGGCGCAGATTACAGGCTGAGCCACTGAGCCCGGCTCACACTAGCTGATTTCTAAACTAACTCAGGAATTTGTACCAATCCCATGCCTTTTCTGGGAACAAGGATAATTTATTCAACAAATATTTATTTATTAAATACTTATGAGCCATATCCTGTGCTAGAAAGTGTGGTCCACACTCGTTCTTTTCCTGCTTAGTCGGGAGGAGGGCACAGGTAAAGACAATCAATAAAATACTTCCACGCTGCACAATTCCACTCCAATTATGAATGGCAATCCGAACATTTGAAGTCTGTTGTCCTGCCCAAAGAAAGAGGAATCATCCAGCAGGTGGCAGCAGGATACAATTATTTTAGGTCTTGATAGGCAGGCTGAGGTAACTGTGGGGATATTTTATGGACGTTCGGGTTCTAGGTTCCCTCACGGGGATCCAGAAGACATCTGGAAAGAGGATAACCAGGCCATCTTGGGGACTCCAATATCTAGGATTTTTCCATTCCTCTTCACTTATTAATTTCACAAATAATTACTGAGCCCCTACAATGTTCAAAGTAACGGGAAGAGCTGAAGATACAAGAGTGAACCACACACAATCCTTGCTCTCCCGAAGCTTAGTCTGCTCCAGCAGACAGACAAGTCTTCAGGGTACTTTATAAAACCAAGCAGAGTTAGTAGGAACACTAGAACTGGGAGGAATTTTTGTACCTCCATGCCCTTTGAAGCATAGGCAATCGACAGAGGCTAAGGGCTCAGGTCGCAAGAAGGTTGTGATATGGTCTGATCGCCTTCTGTGGACCTTTATGACAAGTGTTCGTTGATTTGTGTATCAGATATTTACTGAACTCCGTCATTTTGCCCAGCATTGTGTTTGAGCCAAACAGATCTATTTCAAATGTCATTGAGAAGAAGGTAAGATATGCACGCAGGTTAAACTAAATAGTAAACACGGTAGTAAAACCGAAAAAGGTCTGGGAAGAGTTCTTGGTTGCATGTGTTGTTTTGTGATATTTGACAGCTTAACGTCTCTGACTTGACACCAGCACGTACGTTGGGAGTTCTTTCTGGGCTGTGAATTTGTGAGGACCCACTGCACCACTCTTATGCGGAATTCAGAGAACGCAACCCAGTCCTTTCAATGGACCGAAGGCAGATCGGCCTGCCGACCCACCGTAGGGGCGGTCAGTCCACTGGGGCACGCACGTCTTCCACGCGTGGATTCGTTAGGGCGTGAGGGACCCGTCTCACGTGACCAACCGGCAGCCTTTTGATTGGCCTTTCTTCTTTCCCTCCCCATTGGGTGGGAGGAAACACTGACAAGGTCGGGCGCATGCGCAGTGCCTTAATTTCCTGGGCCACCCGGAGTGGAGCGGCGGGGTTGGATGATAAACAGGCTGTGGCTAGGAAGGAGGGGGAGGGGGCGTTTGGTCCTCGGGGACTTCTCCTGCCGCGTTTTTCCCTCAGGTGTGGCGGGGTCCCAGCCGCTGGCTTGAGCCTCCTCCTTTGTGAAAGGGGAAGGTAGCTCCGGCGGAAGCCGTTAAAGTTGCGGCGGGCGTGCGAGACAGGGTT